TGTGCTCACTGACCTGTTTAAATGTGCTCAGTGTTGGTGTCCTTTTCTTCTCGGTCTTTTCCCCTTCCTTTCTCAAGTGAATCATGGTGACCAGGAATCATGTCTCCAACAACCCACACGTGAAACACATTACAGGGACGGGGCAATGGCTCATTTGGTGAAGTACTTGCTTTGTGAGTGTGAGGACTTGAGTTCAGACCCCAGAACTCAGTTCTAGCATTGCTGAGATGGGTTGTGGAGACAGGCAGGGGCTGTCTGTCCCTGGGACTTGCTGGCAGCCAGCCTTGTCCATGTGGTGACATTCCAGGCTAGTGACATGCCCTATCTCAAATGAAAAGCAGAAGACAGCTGGGGAATGACACTGAAGGTTGTCCTTTGACCTCTTCATGCGTGCCCCCACACATGCACACCTGTACCTGCACACACACCTGCACGCACACAAACATGCACATGCACATATATAGACCACACCACAGCTATAATCGTTTGACCAGTTTTGTGTTTGACATGGAATTTTGATAATTCTAAAGCTGTCTTGATTTTTTTCATTTTTATTTTATGTGTATGACTGTCATGCCTGCATGTATGTAAGTACATCCGTGTCATGCAATGCCTGCAGAGGTCATAAGGCACTGGATCCCCTGGAACTGGAGCTACAGATGGTTATTAGCCACTATGTGGGTACTGGGATTCAAACCCAGGTCTTCTGCAGGAACAGCCAGTGCTTTTAACCTCAGGGCCATCTCTCCAGCCTCTTTAAAGCTGTTTTGATCTTCCTCTTGTTTGGTTTTGTTGTAGCACACTTAACTGGTGTACCAGTTATCAGCTGCCCCCTTAGCCCCAAGCCACCTTCTGTGGCCTGTGGAGTGAGATCTGTGCCCCCTTCCTGCTCCTCAGTCAGGTGCCTGCCAGCTCTGCCTCCGGGGGGCGTTAGAGTGAACCAGCAGAGCAGAACTGTCTCCACGGCAACACTTGTTATTCTCTTCCTCCTCTGAGTCTAGCTCAGGGTTCCTTAGCTCACTGGGCCCACCTTTTTCCCTCAGAGATGCCAAATGGACCCTGAGGTCTGAGTCCCAGCCCAGTGGCCCATCCTAGGAACTGTTCAGTGTGGACAATCCTTTCTCCTACGCCTCCCTCCCCCGGATATCCTAGAGCCCCCTTGCCTGCCCCATCCTCCAGCACCAAGTCAACTGCTTTCCAAACAACGTACCCTGTGGGAACCCTGACTGACAGACCAGGAGAAGCAAACCAGTCAGCTCCACATCCTTTAGAATTCTCTCACCTCTGGAAGAAACTTCTGCCATCTGGTCTCTGGAGATAATGCTCCTTTCGCTCAGAGTCCACTCAATGATACTGAGCGGGCGCTTGCTTTGTATCCAGCACTGTGGGAGGGTGAGGGCAGGGCGTTACCAGAACAGATACAATTCTGCCTGGGCCTGAAGTCTGATGTTCAGATTTTTGAATTAGAATTTTGAAATTCTAACAATGCAGCAACAAAAGAAAAAAAATTAGAGAGATTGAGTTCTGTCAGAATGAAAAAGCAGCCCTCAGATGGAGAAAATGCTTGCAAACCATGTGTCTAGTAGAGGTTAACATCTAGGGTACAAAGTTCCTACAACACAATGTCAGAAAGGCAAAAACCCGGTAAAAAAAATGGCAAAGGTCTTGAATAGACACCTATGCAAAGAAGGCCAAAGCACCTGACAAAAGCTCGACCCAGGCAGGTGCTGGTCAGGGCTGTGGAGCAGTACACCTTGTACCCATCAGGCTGGCTGCTGTCGAAGCTGGAAATCATCAGGCCCAGGCTAGGATTGCTGAATTAGAACTGTGTGCACTATTGGTGGGGATGCCCAGTGGGGCAGCCACTATGAAAACAGTATGCCAGTTTCTTAGAAATTTAAGGTACAAGCACCTAGAATCCAGCAATTTCACTTATGGAAATATACAAAAAAATTGAAAGCAGAGACTGGAACAGGCATTTGTACACTCCTGTTCACAGATGAGCCTAAGTGTCCATAGACAGAATAGAAGAACATGTGGCCTATTCATACAGTGGAATATTAGTCACCCTTGAAGAGGAACGAAACCTCGACATGTGCTGCAATGCGGATGAGCCTTGAGAACATTATAGTTATTGAAATAAGCTAAGTCACAAAGAGATGAGTGAGGAAATGATTCAACCTACATGAGATTCTGAGAGCTGCCAGACTCCTTAGAAAGGATGGGGGACCAGCTTTTGGGGAGGTAGAAAGTTAGTGCTTCGTGGGGCCGTTCCCAAGGGGGAAGGTGAGACAGTTCTGGAGATGGGTGGTAGTAGTGATGGCTGCTGTAACTGGGCATGCTTAGCACCACTGAGCTGGTTATGATGGTAAATTTTGTGTTGTATACAGTAAAAGTTAAGCTGAAGGCTGACAGCCGAAGACTGTTTTCCAGTGTGTTCTCCCTGTTGGAGCAGTAGGGGCGCTGGGCCAGCAGCGGTGTTCTGAGTGTTAAGGTACAAAACTTGCTTCTCGTGCTCCAGGTTGGGGGACTGTCTATCCGAGAAACAGATGCTGAGGCTTCTCCTGGTGGGTCAAGTGTTACTTGCATTCTCTTCCTGAGCTGGCTTAATCATTGGTGGGAACTGCTTGTTAAATTTCCCTTTTCCTTTAAAATGTCCAAATCTCCAACACATCTGTGTAGAAGGCAGGCTCCCTTCCCACCGCAGGGCAGCCTCCTGGGACACAGCAATGCCACACACAGTTCCTGTGTAGCCACCCAAGCTTTAGGAATTAGCCTTTCTAACACACAGCTGTGTGCTTGTGACCCGGTCCCCCAAGTGCAGAAGACACAGAGGAGTAAATAGCCTCCAGAAAGCAGATTCGTCCTGTGCATATTTGTGGTCTTCTCAGCTCAGCGCTGGCCTGAAACATTCTCCATGTTGTTACTTCTGCAGCAGAGCTGTTTGTGTGGCTGTGTGGCTCGCCTCCCACCCCGGCAGCTTGCCCGGAACTGTCATTGTGCAGTCAGGTTCCCTGCTTGGCCCCAGGTGCACTGCTGGACACTTTGTTCTCTCAGCCATGTCCTGGGTGCTGAGCACTGTGCTGGGCAGGAATTTTCACATGAAATGACAGAAACAAAGGTCCCTTTTCTGCCCTTGTAGGTGTGATGGTCCACAGGTGCTGTGTGGGAGGCAGGTGACACGGTCTTCTCCGAAGGAAAAGCCGGTAGAGATGTGTAGGAGTTTCATCTAGATCAGGGCTAGAAGGTCCCAACCTGCTGGACTTATTGAGCAAGGGAGGCCCTGAGGCAGCCCCGGGTCCAGGTGGCAGGACAGGCTCTGCAAGCAGAGAGGTGTGAGTGCCCAGGAAACAGAGCCCTGAGGCTAGCCCCGAGATGTTGGCTCCTGGGTTCTAGACACATTTTAGGTTACACTCAGTTTGGGCATATTTTGAGGGGGAAATCAGACAAGACTCTGTCTCATTTATTGCTTATTGACAAGGAAGGCAGCAAGGTGGATTCCATTGGCATGAGAGAAGGCGAGGGTGTGGACAAGTGTAGACACAGATCAGATTGTTATGTATGTACAGTTGGTTCCTCAATTTACAACAAAGCCCCCTGGCCAGTGTCCTTAGGAGTGGACGGGATGAAGACACTCTGCCTGGATACTCAGCCTCCATGCTCTGAGGGCTCACAGGCTCATCAACTAGAAGCAGTTGTCACTGCAGACCTGCATCTGCCTGTGGGAGGCCTGCCCAGTGGTGCTCTGTCAAGGACCAGGTTGCCTGCTCCTCAGTTGGGGACCAACAGCTGGGTCTCAGCCAGATCTTGAGCAAGCAAGGCTGCACAGCAACTTGGCCAAGCGAGAGGCTTGACACACCTTGGGGTCAGCTCTGCCCGGCACCAGCCTGGCTGGCTTTGCCGACACTCTTGGAGGTCTATGGTGACTTTCTAGAGGACAGTGTGCACTGCCTGTGCTGTGGCTATGGCACAGAGGGAACCTCTGTTCTGTGCACCCTCACTGCCTGGCAGCTGGCAGCCTGCACTCTAGGGCACTGGGCCTCTTACCTGCCCAGAGGATGGGACTGTAGCCCTGTTCACCTTCAGGTCTAGCTCTGTACTGGGGTCTTTGAGTTCTTCTGTGGTGGACCCCAATGCCAGGGTGCCTCTGTGCCATGTGACACCTGCATGGGAGCGGTGAGTGGGCTGGCTGGCTCCTTCCAACATGCCCTGGGTTAGCACACTCACACTTGTGGGCTGGGAGCTGGCTTGTTCTGGGTGTTGAGAGACCAGCATGGGGGAGGGGCACTGCATCTCCAGGGGAGCAGCTTCATGGGAGAGGAGGGGTGCAGGTCATAACACCTGGGTACCCAGTTGTTAGCTACCAGCAGACACCTGAAGATGCTAGGTGATGCTCTTAGCCTGAACACCTGGGGTGCTCAGTTGCTAACTAATTACCTGCGGAAACCTGACGATGCTGGGTGACTCTCTTAGCTGTAACACCTGGGGTATGTTAACTACCAGTGGACACCTGACGATGCTGGGTGACTCTCTTAGCTGTAACACCTGGGGTATGTTAACTACCAGTGGACACCTGACGATGCTGGGTGACTCTCTTAGCCGTAACACCTGGGGTACGTTAACTACCAGTGGACACCTGACGATGCTGGGTGACTCTCTTAGCCGTAACACCTGGGGTACGTTAACTACCAGTGGACACCTGACGATGCTGGGTGACTCTCTTAGCTGTAACACCTGGGGTACGTTAACTACCAGTGGACACCTGACGATGCGGGATGACTCTCTTTTTTCATATTTGTGCATTTCATTATGAATATTTTAAGTAACATAAACCTAAAGATGAAGTGAAGTTTTGCTTTGACCTCTATCCCACAGGACCCCTCTGCTCGGCTCTCCCTTCCATGGCACACAAAGGACAAAACTGGTAGTCTCCTCCCAAGTGGGTAACCTGACATGTCTTTTTTTTTTTTTTTTTTTTTTTTTTTTTTTTTGGAGTTTAGAGTTCAAAACTTGGGCGAGGAGTTGGCTTGGCACAGACGTCTCAGCGGACCTCTGCACGAAGGTCATCTGGAAGGCCCAAGAGATTCAGCGTCACACGCTCCCTCGATGACCTTGAGGTAGGTCGGGTGGCCCTGCAGCCCACTGAAGTGGGCTTCCATCACTCTTTCTCCTTCATCTCTGAGAATGCGCTGGGCCTTCCTGCCAGTCCCCTGGGCTCCCCCCTCAGCAGGAGCCTCCAGAGCACATAACTGAATCTTTTCTACCTCTCAAAGTACCTTGAGTCACCTGGTACTCACACTGGGGGGACCTCTTCAGACAGGAGTATGTTTAGTGCCACGAGACAGTCCAGATAAGGCCTGTTGCTGCCCTTCCTAGAGATCCAGTTGGCTCAGCTCAAGGGTTACTTTAAGAATAGGTTTTATTTTTTTAGGGCAGTTTTGGGTTTTAGAAAACTTGAGCAGAAGAAAGTCCAGCTTCCGTACCCCCACTGTGACAGCACACAGGTCGTCACTGTGTGAGGGTGGAGCATTTGTTGCAGATAGTGGGCATTCTGGATGGGTTGCTATTAATGACAGTGCAGTGATTACAGGAGAGTCCTCTTCTGAATTTGGACACACACGCCATGACATGCCCCCCCGCAGCAGCATATAGAGTGGTGACATCTCCCTGAAGACCCTCCTGTCCCCTGCTCTCCTGTCCCCTGCTCTCCTGTCCTGTTCTCCTGTTCTCCTGTCCCCTGCTCTCCTGTCCTGTTCTCCTGTCCCCTGTTCTCCTGTCCTGTTCTCTTGTCCCCTGTTCTCCTGTCCCCTGTTCTCCTGTCCTGCTCTCCTGTCCTGTTCTCCTGTCCCCTGCTCTCCTGTCCTGTTCTCCTGTCCTGTTCTCCTGTCCTGCTCTCCTGTCCTGTTCTCCTGTCCTGTTCTCCTGTCCCCTGCTCTCCTGTCCTGTTCTCCTGTCCCCTGCTCTCCTGTCCTGTTCTTCTGTCCCCTGTTCTCCTGTCCCCTGTTCTACTGTCCTGCTCTCCTGTCCCCTGTTCTCCTGTCCCCTGCTCTCCTATCCTGTTCTCCTGTCCTGTTCTCCTGTCCCCTGTTCTCCTGTCCCCTGCTCTCCTGTCCTGTTCTCCTGTCCCCTGTTCTCCAGTCCCCTGCTCTCCTGTCCTGTTCTCCTGTCCCCTGTTCTCCTGTCCTGTTCTCCTATCCCCTGTTCTCCTGTCCTGCTCTCCTATCCTGTTCTCCTGTCCCCTGTTCTCCTGTCCTGTTCTCCTGTCCCCTGCTCTCCTGTCCTGTTCTCCTGTCCTGTTCTCCTGTCCCCTGTTCTCCTGTCCTGTTCTGTCCTCTGTTCTCTTGTCCCCTGCTCTCCCTGTCCCACTCCCCCGGCCCTTGGCACCCATTGATAGCATCACTGGTTTTATGTGTTTCTAAATTCTGACAGACTCAGTTGTACTTTTAAAACACAGTGTCTGTTTCAAGGTTTGCTTTGTGGTTGAGTGTAGTCACTTTCATTGTGTCTGGCATGCTGTTAGATGCCTATGACATCTGACCCCCTCTGCCTCGATGGATACTCTGGGGAAGACGTATCTGCTCTGAGGGAGCAGTGTGAATGTTCTTGTACCCATGTTCTTCCAAGCACATTAGAAGTAGAATCTGGGTGACAGGTGTGACTGAATGCCATCCATGGTGGCTGCTCTGATATTTGCTTGAATTTGGCCAGGTGATGGCAAAGATCAGCTGCATGGCTGCTCTGTGGTGTACCTGGTGTCAGGTGAGGGGACCGTGAGGCCCAGCTGAGGTGGGGCCCCTCATGGCTGAGGTGGGGCCCCTCATGGCTGAGGTGGGGCCCCTCATGGCAGTGTTGAACCTGACCAGAAGGTGGATTGTGGCCAGCCTGCTCCAAGGCGGGTAGGGTTGGGGGGATCCTGCCAGGGGTGCTGAGAAGACCTCAGAGGGTCTGAGTCCTGAGCCATGTGGGCAGCTTTATGGTGGCGGTTTGAGAAACCACGGATGGAGTTTGGATTACCGTTTTCTTTCACCTCTGGAGAAGTACTGCCTAGCAGCACCTGGAGTCTCACCACTGTGAGTTAAAGGTGCGTATGAGGGGCTGGAGAGACGGTTCAGCGGTTAAGAACACTGGTTGTTCTTGCAGAAGACCCAGATTTGAATCCCAGCACCCACATGGCAGCTAACAACTGTCCGTAACTCCAGTTCCAGGGGATCCGATGGTTTCCTCTGACCTTTGTGGGCATTGTATGACACGGGTGCACTTACCTACATGCAAGCAATACACGCATACACATAAAATAAAAATAATAAATAAAATTAAAAAAAAAAAAAAACCAGGCGTGGTGGCACACGGCTGTAGTCCCAGCACTTGGGAGGCAGAGGCAGCCTATGAGTTCAAGGCCAGCCTGGTCTACATAGTAAGTTCCAGGACAGCTGGGGCTACAGGGAGACCCTGCTTCAAAAAGACAAAAAAAAACAAAAACAAAAAACAAAACCAACAACAAACAAAAAAAGGTGAGCATGAGCTGGTATCCATGCCTCTTCCTCTCGGTTTCAGAGCAGCCCAATAAGGAGATTTTCAACATGGCCACTGGCTGGCCTTGAACTCACAGTCCTCAATCTCCTAACAGCGAGGGTTGCAGGCCTGGCTGATGCGGCCATGTGACCGATAGGAACCCCAGTTGCAGATAGGCTCTGAAACACTTCCTGGGCCACTGGGCAGAGAAGCTGTGGAAGCTACAAATCACTGTGACATTCAGGGAGCTGGAGAGCTTGTCCATCTGTCCTTTGCTGATTACTCTTGTCAGTTGTGCTAAGAGCTTTCCGACACCCACAAACCTCCTCCCAGTCTTCTCATCCATGGACTCCACAACCCCTGGGTGCAGTGGGCCCTGGTGACTCATATCTAGCAGAATAGTACAGCAGAATGCTGGGAGGTCACCCTGACGGCTAGATGGCAGCTGCCCTCTGAAGGCTACATGGCCTCCAGCTGTCCGTGGTCAGCAGGCCTCTGACTGAGGCTGCCGCACTGGGGTCATTGCAGTGCTGCTGTTGCATGGGACTGCTCCGCCCCTGTACTCTCTGGGCTCTGTCCCTCTAACGGTGGTCTAGAGACGCTTTGTGGTGGGTGCAGTCATGTGGGGCGAGGTGTCTATACCCTGTCACTGCTGTTTCTCTGAGGCCTCCCTGGCTCTCCCCTCCTATCCTCCTCCTGGCTCTGATATTCAAGCCAGGTCACTTATCCTGTTCAAAGACCTTTGCACTATCTTGCATGGATCGCACACAAAGGTGACCAAGCTGTTCTCCAGGCACAGTCTGTTCTTTCTGGGCATCTATTTTTTAGCCACCCCATCCTGAGTTGCATCACATGCACCCCCATCTCCTTTACCTTCCTCCTCATTTGGTAGTTAGGAAGACTTCCTTTTGTGGCCGTAGGTGTGGGTATCCTGGTGACGAGTGCCATGGCTCTGCATCCCGCTCCTTCCTGAGTGAGTACGCTCATGAAGTCTTGTCTGGATTGCTGCTGGGGCTTGCCTTGGGAAAGGACTAGTACCACGCTCATGATGGACAGTTTGGTGCCTAGATACGACCATCATTCCATGTAGACACTGTCCATCTGGCCCAGCTGCACTGGGGCTGTTTCTCTGCAGCACACAACAGTAGTGTGAATATAGTGTGTACAGGAGTGCAGCTCCCAGCTGCTGGGGCCCTGTCATGTTCAGGGCCTGAGGTCTTTGACTGTGAACTTGTTCTAGGGCTTTTAGTCAGCTCTGTGGCATCTTCCTCACAGATATTTAGGGCTCCAGGGCCTATGGTACAGAGCCTATTTTCTTTCCTGCTTGTCCCACTCATTGCTAGGAGCCTGCTGTGACCCCCTAGAGAGGTCTGAGCCATGTTCCCAAGGGAAAAGCAGTCAGCTTCTTGAGCCCAGATAGGCCTCCAGGCTCCTTTCTGAGTGCTGAGAGATTATACGTGTTAATAACTTGTCCCTTGTAGGAAGGGATGTCCAACATCATATTCCACAGATAGGGCTGGCTGAGTGTTTGCAGGTCTGCCACCTGCCTTCCAAAGCTGGAGGGTTCTGGTGCTGGGTACCTGCTGCTTGATGATATGAGCTTGTGGGGTTCTGATGAGCCAGGTGGCTTGGGTCCTCCCTGACTGTCCAATGCCAGGATGGGGGCATTCTTGGTGATCTGAACAAACCATATCTGTTTCTAGCACACGGTTTCCCAGTACAGTGACTGCCTTAGTTTCTTTTTCAGTTGTGATAGAATACCCTGACAAAAGCAGCTTAGTGGGGAAAGGGCTGGTTTTGGCTTGTAGTCCAAGGGTGCCATCCATCATCGCAGGGAAGCTGAGACAGCAGTTGCTTGAGGCTTCTGGTCACACTGCCCTGCAGTCAGGAGCAGGGAATAAAACAAGCAGCCAGTGCTCAGCTCACCCTCTCCATCTTGGGCAGTCCAGGATCCTCTGTGCAGGGAATGTCCCCCCCATAATCAAAGTGGATCATCCCATGTCAGTTAATATAATCAAGATCATCCTCCACAGGCATGCTCAGAGGCCCATCTCCCAGGTGATTCTAGATGGTCACATTGACAGTTGACGCAGACTGTCACAGTGACTGTGAGGCCCTATAGGGAAAGCAGGAATTAGTACCAATGACACTTGCCTTGGTGTCATGAGGATCTTCTTGATTGTGTCCTGATCGTTTCCTTAATCTGGTTTCCAGTTTTGAGAAGTGGCTCAAGTTTGCAAGTTGGACAGAGTTGTGCGTTTACTGGAGTGGCTGCCATTGGCCTCCTGGTCTTCCATTCTTGATCTCTTTTTATTGTGCTGATTAAGCAGTACTGTTGGTGGCTGCCTAGCAGGCACCTTGTTCTGCCCGCTGTAGGGGAAGCCCGCTGGAGCCAACAACTCTGTCCCCTACCCGTCTCTGGTGACTCTGCCTACCTGGCCGTGGGCTGCAGAGATAGTTCCTTTCTTAAATCCTCCCAGAGACACTTGCCTTCCACGTTTTGCCATTGACTGTGCTCAGCACTCCTGGGTGTGTCAGTCACTTTCTCTTCCTGGTGTGACACTGTACTTAGTGATTTCTTGCCACACCCTCTTGGAACAGTTAC